CGCTTGTTCACCCACTGGGTCCCTAACACCCACACAGGTCAAACTGCCTCCCTCTGTCACTTCTCTCCCTGGTTACGGTTCCAGCTTCCCTTAGATGACAGCCTTGAGGATATTAGCTCTAGAAACTGGCATGGGGTCCTGTAGCTCTTAGACTTTGGGATTCATGCGTTAGTAAAGTTAAAAGAAAAGATGGAGGGGACCAAGAAAAGGTGACAAACTTTTTATTTATTTTCCTAATAAGTTTTTTTTTAGAATCACAACTTTTTATAAGAGAAAAATAATTTTAACACACACACACAAAATCTAGAAAGAGAAAGATCTAAGAATAGAAAATAGTCCTTTAAGTTAAACTGTATGAAAACATTTGCTACATTACTTATTTTGCCCCAAATGGGTGAAAATGTTGTCAGAGACCAGCCTGGATTGTCCCGTTCAGTGAGAAACCACCAGTTTTGTCCAAGCCCCTCCTTGGTACCCATGGGAAAATGGAGTGACCTTTACTGGTGACAGAAAGGGCAAAACTGGGACAGGTCCCACAAGCCTGGTCCTGCCCACTGCGGCACCTCGCAAGGCCCTTTCCAGACACTCTGGTCTTGGTTAAAATAACTTACTGAGGCTACCTAGCGGGGGTCAGACATGACTCTCCGGATTCCAAGCTTCCTGTCTGGTCTTGTGTGTCTTTGAACAAGCAATTTAACCTCTCTGTGCTTCGGATTCCTCAGTTGTAAAATGAGCAAATCAATAACTAGCTTCTAGAGTTGCCTATAATGGCAAAGGCCCAAGGCAGGTTGGCCCCTACCGCTATCAGCGAAGAGTGGGCCATCTGGGCTGAGGCTGGAGTCTAGAAGGGAGAGAAGGCGTGTGTGCCCTGCCCGCCCATGCCAGCTGAGCCCACATCAGAGCAGTCGTCAGCCTGTGGAGGAGCTGCTGGGCTGGGAGACTTGAGGGACTCGGCCCAAGTGAGGCTGCTGTGGACTCGGGTGGCCAAGGGTGGCATGGGATTAGGGAAGAGACCTTTTCCCGTCTTCTCAGGGACCCCGGCCAGCATGCTCCCAGGCCCAGGAACCGGCACTCTTGTCACTGACACAGACACTCCTAGCAGGAGCACAGGCGAAGGTCCCCCCAGTGGCATTAGGTGCAGACACCAGCACGGGGGCGCCTGGGCGGGAGAGAAGCGTGGTGGCCCTCGTGATTGCGGACAGCGCGGGAGGCAGCCTTTCGAAGATGCTCAGAAACTCCCGAGGCCGGCCTGGCAGGTGAAGATGGAGGTCTGAGCACGCAGGTAGGAATAAGAGAAACAGGGTTATCGATGCAAGTTGACTTCATTTGTATTCCAGGCCTGGCAGGCTGGTCGCAACTGGACAAACACGTCTTTAGTACCTGCTCTGCGCCAAGCACAGCGCTGGTCAGGGATACAAAGATTCAAAGAGCAGGGAACTTTCTTGCAAGGACTTATACAGCTTACCCAGCCCTAGTGGTGTTTGCCCCTGAGGCAGGGTGCCAGCGACCTGGCGAGGACAGGCCATTTGCCACATCTGTTCCAGGGAACGCACCATCCATGCGTGTGCCCAGAAAGGAGAGCACTTTGCAGGTAGGACTGGCAGGGCTCGATGACTTATTAGATGAGGGGGCGAGGGAGAGGGAGCACAGGTGGCTCCAAAAGTCCTGGCTCAGCACCTGGGTGGGAATGTGGATCCCAGGTGGGGCTGGCTGGGTTCGGGGTATTTGAGGCACATCCAGGTAGAGGTGCTCAACAGTCACACGCAGGTCTAGGATCAGGAAAAACGTAAAGATAAAGAAATGAATGTGTTAGTGCAGGGAGGGATGTGGGACCAAGGTCTCCAAAGGCAAGACAGGAATTTTATCTGTCTGGTGGGGTAGCAGTTTAAGGGTACAAATACCGGAAAAAGAAAACAGAATGAGTAAAGACGTGGAGGCGGAAGCAGCACGAAACCTCATTAATTCCATTTGGCTTAAGCACTGGTTGCACTGGGGTAGCTGGGGAGATGCGTCACAACTGAAGAGACACAGCAGGCCAGACCGCAGAGGGTACTGAATGTCAGGGTGAAGAGTCTGTACACAATTCTGCAGGCAATGGGGAGCCTTTGAAGGTTTTTAAGCAGAAAAGTGACACGATAAAGGCTACATTTCAGGTTGATCTAACCTAACAGAACAGGTTGGATTAAAATAGAGACCAGAAGAAATGCAAGAGACAGGGGCCATCGCTTATTTGTTCATTCAACAGCGAACTTCCTGAACTTCTTCTCGGCAGGAGCAATCTTCTTCCCCAATCTAATCTGTTCCTAATCTGCTATGGTTTTAGACACTGAATCACCTCGCATTAATGCTGCACATGAAGAGCAAACGGGTTCTACTAAACGCATGGGTCCAGGCATACTTTGCTTTACTGCACTTCATTCCACTGAGATGTGTCTTTTACAAACTGAAGGCAAGACCCTCCACCAGCAAAAGGATTATGACTGGCTTTATTGTGGCGGCCTGGACAAAAACTGTAATATCTCTGGGGTATGCCTGTCTTAACAAATATAAATGAGTTTAAGTCACTTCTTAAAAGAAGTTTCATATGTACATACAATTGAACATTATTAGACATTAAAAAGGAGGGAAATTCTGACGCCTTACAACATGAACCTTGAGGACATGATGCTAAGTGAAAGAAGCCAGTCACAAAAAGACAAATACTGTATGGTTCCTCATATAGGAAGTACCTAGAGGAGTCAAATTCACAGAGAGAACAGAATGGTGG